CCCCCCCCAACACCCCAAGCCCTTAACCCCCCCGGAGCACCCCCCCAGAGGGCCATGCCACGTTCGGACGGGAACCGTCCGTACGCCCGTACAGGCGTCTGTATGTCCGTCCGGACGGCCCATACGGGGACCCCCCGTACGACGTACGGGGGACGACACAGGCAGCGATTGGTTTTAGGGCTACAACCCATGCTCTTGATGTTTTTTCACGAATTCAGTCTAGAGGGAGGCGTCTGCAGGAGGAGGAATGCCTAGCCAATGTAAGAGAGGCCGAGGACATGTTGGAGACAGATGCGCCAGCAGAGCTGTACTGGCTCCACAGGAGGGATAGGTGGCTCTCGAAATGGGAGGATTTGCAGATCGAACAGCAGGTCAAATGGGCCAACAAGGCCAAAGAAAAAGGAATGATCACTGCCGACCGCATGTCCAAAGAAGCTTTCCAACGCATCTGTCCACAGCGGACGAATTTAACAATGAGAGAACTCCAGCACCCGTTCCACGCTGAAGCGGACACAGCGACAGACTCTAAGACCAGAGGGGATTTTGCAAAACAGTATTTTGAAGACATACTTACCTCTCGAAGACCCCCAGAGCAGTCACTGCATCAGCTGCAAGCCGAGTGTGACATGTGGCAGAACACAACAGCACGTCTCACCGCAGAGCCCAGTACCCTCCTCGACCAGCCAATTACCATGCCGGAGTTGTTTGCAGCAGTTAAGGCAATGGCTAAAGGAAAAAGCCCGGGCTCAGATGGGCTCCCTGCAGAGTTCTATGAAGCAACCTGGGAGCATGTGGGCCCAGTTCTACTGAGCCTGTTCAACAACATTTTGGAAGGAGGCTCCTTAACGGAGGACATGAAATTAGGCGTGATTCCGCTGTAACAGTTGTATAAGAAGGGAGACAAACGAAACGTCCGCAATTGGAGAGCCATCAGCCGCCTTAATGTGTCATACAAAATTCTTGTCAAACTATTGGTCAGAAGATTGGCGCCGCTTCTGCCGACGCTAGTCCACACAGATCAAGGCGCCTTCGTTCAAGGACGCTCCATCTTCGAGAACGTCATGGTGGCAATGGGTGCTCTGGAGATAATTCAATGAGAAGACCGTCAAGTCATGGTAGCGATGTTGGACTTAGAGAAAGCTTACGATCGCGTCAACTGGTCTTTTGTTCTAGCCACTCTTCAGCATATGAACTTCGGCCCCAAGTACCACAGATGGGTAGAGGAGATCTATATTGAATCAACTGCAGCAGTCATAGTCAACGGATTTGTCTATCCAACTTTCACACTTACACGCTCATTGCGTCAGGGATGCCCTTTGGCTTCCTTACTCTTCGCAATTCAGATGGAAGTTCTACTCAATTCTCTAAGGGCGTCACCTCAAATCCGCGGACTCAACCTTGGCGAAGGAGACCAATTGCTGACGGGGGCCATCGCGGACGACCTCCTTTTGGTTGCTGAAGCCACACCAGAATCATTGGAAGGGGCCAAAAGCATGTTGGATTCATACTCAGAGCTCTCCGAAGCACGGGTGAACTGGAATAAATCAGTCTATTTCTTGCCCGCCCGCTATCAGCTTCAAGGACGGACATGGGGAATGAAGAGGATAGCTCCTCAGGACTCAGAGCGATATCTGGGCATTCAAGTGGCGCTGCGGGACACTAGAGCTGACCAAGACTCCATCCTCGTGGCTAAATCAAGGTCTGTTCTGCAACGCTGCAAAGCTGCATTGGGTGTCTCCATATTTGGCCGAGCCATCTTCATCACGTCCGCTGTCTTTTCCCAGTTGTGGTACACTGCTGCTGTGATGCTAATCCCCAAACCCACCCTGAGGGCCATTCCATCAGATGCTGCCAAGTATCTGTGGAAACGTGGAGCCGACAAGGAAACTGGCTACATCACCAAGTGTGTTTGGTCCAAGGTCACCAAAGCGCGAACAGAAGGGGGACTAGGCATCCTCGATCCAAAAACCCAGAACCTCACGCTACTGGGTAAATGGTTCTGCAAAGTGGCAGTCCAATCCGATAACAGAGTTTGGATTGTTGTACTAGAATACTTGTTGCAGCACGAGTTGGGACTCTCGCGCAAAAGCGATGTCTAGGCATGCATCTTCATGTCGTCCTTCATTCGACGTCAACCTTCGTCCGTACTGGTCTCAGCTTGCTGGTCTGCATGGAGAGCCCTCCAGCCACTTCACTCCAAGCCCCCGGTAACCCAGGAAGAAGTTCCGCGTCAAAACCTCTTTGACAACCAAGATATACTAGACAGCTGTGACCAACCTTTCGAAGCCACCAGAGCACGAGGGGCTTTTGGTAGAACATGGACAGAACGGGGAGTGACACGCATTGCAGACATCTGGGACGAGAACAGCCAAGAATGGGCGACGGAAGATCAACTGAAGACCAAGCTTCGTGGTACTCCTCACCTTTCCCAGCGAAGAGCTCGGCTCATTCAAGCCATCCCTCCAAGCTGGAGTGATCTACTGCGAACCTCGGGCCCTATTTCTGGTCAGTGGTACGCCTTGGAACCTGGTCCAGACAACGTACAAGCAGAGGCGGATACACCACGGCAGATCATTCAAATCACTCAAGAGCTGGATGATAACCGCTGGCTTGCCAAGCAATGGACCAAGCAGGAAAGACCAGGCAAGACCCCGCAGTTAACAGGCCCATCTGATATCTCCATTGATGCCCTTCAACCTCTACAGCTGGTCAGAGTCCATACTTCTCTTCAGAACCCTCATGCTCCTATACACAGTTTGTTGATGGACAGCAATCCGCCGAGTAACTCCAGAGTAGATCCGTTGGGTCACAGTTGGAGACTCGCTAAGGGCATACAGGTCTTCCTTCATCAGTATTCGCCTAAGTGGGGAAGGATAATCATCTCCAAGGAGCTCGATCTGCCAAGACAGGTGGCAACCAACCTCAATAAACTGGTACGATCTCAACCGAGCCTGGAACCGCGAGACCTGAGTCGGCTATGGGACCAAAAAAAATCCATGCCTTCTCAAAAGCTCGCTGCCTTTTCATGGCAATTGTCGCATATGGCTATTCCATGCGCCATCTGGTTTTTTGAAAAGGGCATGGACATCCCCACCAAATGCCTCAGATGCGGGAGCCGTGCTGAGGAATCATTGGAGCACCTCATATGGTCCTGCCCGGCTTCCCGAAGACTGTGGGTCTGGTGGGGTCAGTACAGGGCTAATTTCGTGGGAACGCTTCTCCCATGGGATCAAAGTTGGGCACTTCATGGAAAGATCCCGCCTTCTTGGTTTAAACATGTGGGTAGAGGCTACGTCGCACAGGCCATTCGCTCAATCCGACTATGGATCATCTGGGAGGACAGGAACAACATCCTCTTCAGACAAGAATGGACCTGTGATACCGTCGTGATCACCAAAACCAAGGCGTGGATCAGGACAATGATCAAAGCAGACAGGGTCAGGAAGG